AAAATATTATAACTAATTAAGGAGATCTTCCATCGTATATAGATTTGTCAACTTTTTGTTCTTTTTAGTTGCAAATAAGTTGAAAAACTAAAATTAAAGAGATAAAAATTAAAAATACCTGAATGAAAATGCATTGTACATTAAATTAATGTATAAAAAAGTAAGTGTAAGTTTAAAAAAAACGACTTAGAAACTTTTGTTATATTACTCATGCATTTGGCCCGAAATTTTAAAACTTAATTCTCATTGGTATCCTTATACTTTCATCAATAGCTATGTCCTTGTACTTCCCACGATGCAAGCAATAGGCCATAGAGCAGTGTTTATAGCGAATATTATATGAAAAATATCCACAAGTCTCCGACTACATTAATTAAATTAAAGAAAACTTTTTTCGATACTTCAAAATCACGAACTTTTATTATTTACTTTATATAAAGACACAGTTTAAATGAAAAATTCATAAAGTTGCATATATTATTTTTATTGACCGTGAACACCCACCTTGTATGACAAGAGAATACAGAATTAGATGAATGGCTAAGGTTTTGTAGTGAATAGCATATTAAGGAAATGTCTTAAGCAAGCGACTTTGCCAGTCCTTAAAAGTTTTTTCTTGTTAGGGCAAAGTACGCCATGCATCAAAAGATGGTTCTTCCCTTATATCACCATCTGCTCTTATATACTTACTTAAATCAGAAATCTGAGGGGCAGTAAGATTGATCCCTTAATCGTAAATAATGCAAATTGAAATTTGTTTGTTATTTGTTGTTTCTTAAATTTTACAAAACTGTTAAACCTATTTTTACATTAACATTGCGTAATTAAAACTATAAGGTTTCTAGCTCTATGCTAGTTAAGTTATGACGGAAACTTTTCCTTAAAATGATAGTTACTTTCAACCTATTTTAGTGTTAAAAACAATTAGAAAATGCCAAACGTATACGGAAACTTGACAGATGCTAATAAAAAGACACAACAACCACTCCATAAATCGGGAACCTGCCTGCAGGTGGCAACGTTGTATGAAGTGTGTGTGTGTATATATATATATATATCAACACATACACAAGATATTCATTCGATATCTATAAACGATATAAAGTGTTTATAATATGGAGTTCATGTACTGGTTATCAGTTCAGTTTTCCTTATAATTTCTACAGTTCTCAATTTTTTTAATAAATCATCTAAGAACTACAAAGATCTCTGAAGTTCTTTTCAGTTCATCGAGCAAAATACTCATAAGATTGGTTTCAAATATATATATATATTTATTAAATTTTTTAGTTGAGTTCAGAAAATTTCACATATAAAGTTCGTTTTTCATGACTGTTGCAATGTGTTTTAAGACTAAACGACATGCCATCCCAGAGCATCAGACTAGAATGCAGTTTCTTTTATTAAGCTTTCTAGAATTTTGACATCAGACCAAAAAATAACTATTTTCTGGTTTCAGCTCACGTTTAAAGCGTGTTGTATGCCACTCTGTCATTGGATAATAGGACTAGTTTTTCAGAGTTCACTTAAAAACTATCACACGCTCTGTATCATTACCTGACATTGTTAAACACGTTGCTAAGATGAAAGACATTCCACGACTATGTAGAATCATGTAGCTTAAGTTGTATGTAAAAAATATCATGACCAAATTTTGTAACGAATGGTAAGTAAGTTGTAATATAAAACATAATAGTTTCATAATTATTAGTGGCAATTGATGGTGAGCAAAACCATTTTTCAATTTCATTGAAACAGAAGATCATTTCAAAGAAAGCTAAAAAATCCAAAAACAGATCAACAAATAAAATGATACACTAACGATTAAGTACTAACGGTAAGGTTGTGGTAATCTGTTATCAATCGTTGTCATGGTTAATAACCTGTACGATAATAATCAGACTCATGTGATTGTTCAGGCTACTTAATAATGATTCGTTATCATACGCGTAAGGGCATTTAAAGACTTATAATTTTTTTACTGAAAATTTTTTTTCTATTACAGTCATTCATGATGCTAGATATTTGTGAGAATTGTTAGACACGTATCTATCTTTTGGCTTTAGCAAGTCTTCGCAGTTTCTCGGATTCTTTTATTTGGTATCATGACACATTGGACTCTATTTGCATCTAAAAAAAAGAGTACCAAAAATTTACTTTTACATTTCACACGTCAGTTTACCAACGGAAATGGATCCATCCGATGAATCGATAAGTAGAGAGATCGGTCGTGCGTGAAGTGTGCATGATGCGCGTTTAACCGTGATGTACCAAAAGAACAATAACAGAACGTGTTGACATTATAGGAGAATCCTTTGAAGTTCCCTAGTGATTAGAACTTTAATGTATTTTTTAAAAAACCATTCACACCAACTAAGCAGCTCTATCTCGTCTGTAGATCTATTTTCTGCACTATTCAGGCTATAAACATTTGAAAACAGAATATTGAGATCAATACTAAACTGTTGATACGTCAAACTTCAACTTAACTCCAAAATAGGTACAGCGGTGAACTTAATCAATTTTTGTAGTCAACTTTAACCTACAAGTTTTTTTATGTAGGCGAGACCATTACTAACTTTCCTTATCTTATGAGTTATATCCTGTTTTTATATCTACGACTATATTACGAAAGAAACTGACTCATTAATAATTAAACTTGATATCAAATGATATCTCAAAAATGTGGAGCCTGATCTTAAGCAGTGGTAGAAGGTTTCTTTAATGAGTTTTTAGTTTAATACAACAACCTATAACTCATAATCCTACAAAACATTTTCTTTATTGCTTTTGTTTTTGCTCTTAAAAAAATTCTCACTGCAACTGTAAATAAATTATATTAATAAATCTACAAATAAATTAATAATAATAATTTATTGTCTCCCGGTGGGACAGCGGTAAGTTTTCGAACATAAAATGCTAAAATTCTGGGTTCGTCTCGTGTGATGGACACAACAGATAGTCTAGCGTGGCTTTGTTCTAAAGAGAAAAAACAAACTAGAAACAAAATATTTTTTTTGTTTTTGTTTGAATCAAGTGCATGTATAATAATGGATCTGTAGTAAATATTAAAGCAGTGATTTGATAGAAATTGGAAATATCAACGGATGAACAGGATCTCTTAAGACGTTCCTGGAGTGATAAGCTGTTATCTTGCCTTTCAGTATAATAATTGGTCTAATTCCATGATGGATTCATGACAGAATCCTTAACATACCTAAAGTTCTAACCAATGGCTTGAGGTCTATCATTCTTAGGACTTTATTCACATGACATACACTGGTCAGTTTACTGAGAAAAAAAGTCATTGTTGATCCATCTGACCAGATCATTCCTCATTACTATTCCATAACCTAAAGTTGTGCTTATTGTATTATTAAATGAGCAAAAGTATTTTTCTTTGTACAACGGATGCTTATGTATATCCATGATATCTTAAATGATTAATCTCCTATTCTCTATGTCTCTAGTACACTTGCTTCCGATGCGCAACAGTTGACACTGTGTAAAGTTTGGTTACAATTGTTTTCCTGTTTTGTTTTACTAGGCAGTGCATGGTACTTTTCCCACATAATAATCTGTCCTTTGTTGTTGCTTTTCCCACCTGAAATGCATACTAATATCCCTTTAGAGGCTGTTTTCCTTGACATATCAACAACCGTGGTTACAGATACAACTTACTTACCAGTTACCATCAGTCTCAGATCTTTCATGGAGAAATTCTGTTTGAAACTGAAGCAAAGCAGGAGTAGTTGGCCCTTAATATACAGTAGTTTATTGAGTAGTTGGCCCTATTTACTTGTGACCACTCAGTGTACATCCTCTTAACCTCTGGAATGAAATTTTTTTCTTCAAATTAAACACACAACTATTTAAACAAAATTTAGTGTAGGATGGACTATAACAGTCTTGCACACTCGAAAAAATTACTTGATTTGATCTTTCTTTCCATAAGAGCCGATGAAAAATGCAGTAAAAGATAAAATTACTAAAATCCATAATACTGATCTCACGTGAGATTGATCGTGTAAAAGTCGTAATTTAACGATGAGAAAGATGAGATTTGGTATAAAGGTGAAAGCGTAACAAGCTCTTGTGCGTATTCTGCAATCAAGGAGCTGTATTTATAGTCTTAAAATACGTAAGGTTACTAAAGAGCTATTTTAGAACAAGTATTTAATTAACTTCATCAATTTAACTGTAATGAACAATTCAATGTTTTAATCACATATTAGATGTGTTCATGTTTTCAAGCATTTCATACTTCTGATGTTTTCAAACGCATGAGTCCTTGCAGGCTCTTTAAGTTTTCACATCTAAGAATCAAAATGATACGTTAACTATCTACAGTCACACTGCCAACACTGTGCGAGGTATTCCATTCTTCATTATATTCAAAGTTCTATAAACACTTAAAAGTCGAGTTTTGAACAACTCAACTTTCAAGATCTGCATATCTACATGTGCCGATGTTTCCATTTATCAACGTTATATTTTAAGATCTGTGCAAGAACTCAGCTAACAGATGTTTCCGAATATGAATTTTGTTGAAAGAAATGTTATCTCAGCTGGCGGAGCATGACATAATAATAAATGTGTGATGTTACATCACAATAAGACTGTTGACAATTTAAATTATGTATCTTCTGTCATAAACGGTTAACATAAATCATGATTCAGCTAAGACTCTGCTAGTTGAAACTCATCCGAGTACTGACTTCTGGAATTAGGCGAAATGCTTCGTCAGCAGCAATGTATAGCAAACAAAATATAATTAAAATGTATTATACATTCTTCTTGCTGTAAACCCTACTTGGTCGGAAAGAATGGCGTGATCCGACTTATCATTAGTTTGATTTGGATGTTATATCATACAAATACTGCTACAAAATATTATTTTTTTCGAAGACTGTGACGTGCTTGGATTTGAATTTTATATTGGATCCCAGTATCAAATTGATTTCAGAATAAAGCTCATAAAGTATATTTGTCTTTTCCAGGAATTCCAAACGATCTAAAACTTTACTGGCAACAGTACCCCTGGCTGCTAGGAGAGACAGTATGCAAATTACGAGCCATGGTGGCCGAGATGACAAGTTATGCTTCAGTACTGACAATTGTCGCATTTACCACTGAACGCTACATCGCTATATGCCATCCTCTAAGTATCCAGACCTTATCTTCTCTTTCCAGAGCGATTAAGATAATTACGGCTGTGTGGATTGTGTCATGCATTAGTGCAATACCGTTTGCTATCTTCACCAAAGTGAACTACGTGGAGTATCCTAAGGGATCGGGGAACAATCTTGAAGGATCTGCCTTTTGTGCGCTTCCAATGGAAAGTAATGATGTCAGTTTGCCTCTTCTACAATTCTCCATCTTTGCCTTTTTCATCCTCCCGATGTCATTGATCATTATTCTGTATGTAAAAATAGGACTAACACTGCGAAACTCACGCTTCAATCGCGTATCATCTGGGGAATCTTCAAAACACTCATCTACTGGCGTTGACTCCAGAAAACATCGTGGTCGTCGATCGGTGCACAAAATGTTAGGTAGGCTAATAATATCGCAAAATACGTTTCTAAAATTAATATCTAAATTTGATGTACAGATAGTTGTCAAAGCAGGAAATGAAAGCATAGATAAACAAGTTAGACCATTTTAAAACATAGGTTGAGATAAAATTATGAAATTTAGCACATACAATATATATATATGTATATATATATAAGAAAACGCGAAATGGCATTGCGTGGTAATCACATCAGAAATACCAGTCAGCCTAATGGTGCAAGCTTCTGTTGAACAAAAAAACATAATATTTACTCAGCTTTTCAGGCCGGCAGTAATAGCATACAGATGCTGGATTTATGATACCAGACTCAAAGCTAGATTTAATATAAACATAATTGTAACACGTTTGAGCTCATATTGGCGACTATTTTAAACAGGTCATCATCCGTGAAATTTAAAGTAATAAAAATAAGTTAACCGTCAAAATTAGTTGCTAAAAGTAACTGATAAAACTAAATACATATACGTTAATGTGTGCAAACTTAGTGCAAATCATGATAATAATTTGGATTAAACTTTCCCTCATACCAAAGTTCATTACGTGACTTTCCTTAGGGTTGATTTTCATTCCTCAGATATTCATGGTATGAACTTTGTTACTTAACGTGAGCTAATATTTCGTATTTGATAACATACAGTTCTTTGATATTTGCATCACTCTGAAAATTGTAGCAAATAGCTTATTCTTATTTTTGAAACAGAAAACTAGAAAGTAATACAAGAAACAACGGATCGCTTCAAATATCTCGTATCATATTTGACACTTCTAGATGCAATGTTTGTTGAATTTGTTATTACTTTTGGAAACATGAAACATAGTGAAGAGAGTCATGAAAAATTAGCCTTCAACTTTGAAAGTAATGGTTGCTTGAATAAGTAATATATTTATGTTAAATCAGAGTTCTGATAGAGAAAAACACAGATACAGATGATTTAGTTTTAATAAGCAAAAAGAAAGACATAATGATTTAGTTATGATAGATTAATCAAATGAAATAACGAACTGTACATTTGTAATAATATGCAAGTATAATAAACTAAATCTCTTTATAATGTGTTATATGAATATATCTTTATTACTATAATTCTTTAAAATATTTAGCACATGTTTCTGTACTTATTCACGAGTTCTAGACGAACTGGGTTTGCCCACCCTTTAACTCGTTTAGTATTGCTTTTAGAAACTGTCTCATTGTTGGCTAAATACTAAAATTTGTCTATCTTCACATTTAGACTGTTTGCTGGATATGTCGTTGAGAGGATCTCAATAGGTTATCTAGTATATTGATCATATGTGAATCTAAAGAAGCTAGAAACTCTAGTTTTCCTTTTTTGTTTGATGACGTGGAAGTACCTTGGAAGTTCTGGTAGAGCGTGGGATGGAATAGAGCTTTATACAAAGTTCTTATTTGCTTCAGTGACCGATTGATGAAGTTGATTGCTTGTCATTTAGGATATGGTGGCATATATGGTTAGCTTTAAAAACAGAGCGTTCTGGAAATATCTTTTTCTTGGCTCTGAAATAAAGAACCCCTACTAGAATTTCCATTTTTCTTTGTTCATTTCCGAACTTTTTTACTGAAAATCTTGTGTTTAGTCTCTTTATTTCTACTCGAGTCACTTACATTTATTTAAAACTCTGCTACCAAATCTTATCGAACTTTATTTATCATGGTCCTAAAGCTCATCTGTTGGTTTCAAGTGCATCTTAGAATACCATAAGCTAAGTTTTAAGAACAATTTGGTGCCATGAACAAGGACTATTGATTTCAGAGTTTAAGTTGTCTTGTTTTTCTATTCCCTTTCTTTTATTGCACTTTGAGCTTTGTTAGCATGGAAAGATAATTTCCAAGATGAAAGAGAAAAAGAGTGCTGGAGTGCAGTAGTCTTTGAACGATCTGCAAGAGGTTCAAAGATTCTCTTACTCGGATTAGATTTTTCACATCAGATACAGAGAGCGATGCAGGGATATTTTTATTTGACCATTATACTATAGATACGAGCTGCAGCCTGGTACCTCCAGATCTTCTGGTTAGGCCCTCTCTTCTGATCTTACCTCTAGTGCGTGGGAGAATTGACCATCTTATTCTGGGTGAGGACAACTAGTATTTTTAACCTCCATCACTTATTGGTCCCACTGCTGACTTAGATGGATTTAGAGATGCCATGGAAGGATGACGTCTGCCAGTTGAAATTACTTCTCTATTAAGTGAGACAACAGGCACCTTTAGTTACCAGTGAGTAGTCAAAGATACACATCCACGGCAACCCTACTCTTGTGGAAATAAGGTTCTGACTGATGAAACTGTGAATTAGAGAAATGGAGCAACTGCTTTACGTGTGAGCTGATTGGACATTGGAGAACAAACACTCTATATGACTAACAGAAGAGACAGCATGATTATTTCCAAATATCTGTTAGATAACAGAAGAAGAAGGATAAACAAAAGACAGTGATTGTTGTTGTTCTGACTAGCTCAATCTAGCGGAGTCTATGTTGGCTCTGGCTACCAACTTGGAGGGAGGGGTGGGAAATTACTTGCTTGTGTCCAAATCTATGTTTACCAGCTCAGTTTATCCAGGGCTAGACATAACTTGGCATATGTGCTTGTAAACAAACATCGAAATTAGTTTGAAATTTTGGTAGACATTAGTGCTGCTAATCCTTGTCCTGTGTCAGACACACCAAGTGGAGCAACCACTTTGACTAACCAAAACTGTCTTCGTTATGGCTAATAGAGGTAAGTTCAAGGTACACAGAAAATAATCTCTCTTTCTGGTTATTGTTACTGTCTATCACAAGACAAAAGTCATGGTCTCTAACATTAGCGATAGATATGCTGCAGAACATATCAATAAACGTGGTCTGTAGTACAGGTAAGTTGCAGTTCACAAAAACCATCCGATGCTGACAAGTGAAAACCCATAAACAGTGGACATGGACAACACTAGTATATAGAGAACAAAAATTCAGCACCTCTAGTCTAGTGTATTGCTGCTATCTGCTGGGATGGTTGTACTGATACACAAAACACACACTGTCTTCACTCTAGCAACTGTGTTGCACTTGCTTAGATAACTATTGCTCGACATACTGTTTTTTGCCAATGTTGGTTGTAACTATAGTCAGACAGCTGTTCGTCTTCTAGACGGAATAATTAAAAACACTGTAAATGAAGAAAATGTGAATGCTTTTAGCTCTCAAAATGACTTGTATTAATTTCACGTCGTGTCATTCAGCCTAACTGATGGAGCTTACACTACGCATCTTGCAATGGAAGAGCAGTATCATCTGTTAATGAAATACTGGTTCCTGTATATATATATTTCAGTCTGCTTCTGAGAACCTGATAATGACGTTTCACAGCATCATATATGACAACAGCATACAGAGATGTATGGTGAGTTATGGTGAGATTCAATGCCCATATTATGAACTTCATGAAGCTTTGAAAACCAATATAGTAGCAGTAGTGATGCTGAACCTTAATGGCAATGGTGATTT